AAATATTCTATCAACTAAATATTTCTGTTATTTTTGTTATTTAAATGTCCTTTTAAGCATGTATGTCTCTCTGTGGCTCTCTGTGTAGATGGCCTCTAATGAGCTGGACCTTCCTGCCCTCTCCGGTGACCCCCAGCCTGGTGACCTCATTGAGATTTTCAGACCAGCCTATCAGCATTGGGCTCTCTACCTGGGAGATGGTTACATCATCAACTTAACTCCTGTTGGTCAGTAAAAGAGTTTCTAACGTAAAACTTGCGGCTATCCTCACAAATCTGACATAAACCTGTCATGTTTTAGACTGAGGTTAAAAGGCTCACATTACAAACTACATCCTGATGCTTAATTAAATTAGAGAATAGTTCTCTCTTGGCTCTTGACGGAGGCGGTCGCATTCTTCTCCCTCTCCCTTATCTTTCCTGCTTGGCTTCTCATGTCTTTTGTATAGTCTCGCTTTCTAACCCTCAAAGAGTTTCTCAGTATTCTTCTCTAAAACCGAAAGAATTATGGATTTGATCAACTGGTCCCGTAGCGGAATTGACACCTTCCTGGGCTTGGGAGAGCCCGATTGTCCTGCGGAGACATTTGCTGCCGGATACTCGATGGTCGGTTGCATCGTTTGTCTGGCGACACTCTCGATGGAGGACAATGAACAACATCTACCAATTCGGAACCACGATAACAGAGTTCTGGCTGATTGGAGCTGGCTCAGACCTGGCTTATCGAAGTACAAGAAGCGGCTACAGCTGTTCAAAATCCCACAAGGCTGGCCGGCATGATAGACGATGGGCAGGGCTGTGAGTACTCAGACTGTGTTTTGAACTCAATATGGATACGATCTTGGAGAAGAACAACGGGAATTGAGAGAATTGGTGACCAGTGACGGACATTAGACCAATTGTAAAATTGGATGCAGTTGTTCTCACTAAACCTAAACATTCACCATCTTCACTCATACGGCCATCCCACTGGCACCAGCTGAAGGCCTGCCAAGGTTGAAGCTGAGTGGAACAACAACCTTCCTTCAAGGCCATCCGCGCTGATCGAAGATTGTTGACTTTTGCATAACCGGGTGAAGGGACACTTTCTCTCGGTTGAACATGGAAAAAGCACACACACGCATGTACACTGACACAGACCTACACTCACCCCCCACCCCCTCCAAACGCCTTCGAAGCTCATGTCTTTATGTTGTGAGATGTGATGATTTATGTGCTGAGGTGTTTTTTTCTGTTCTCAAACTGATCTTCCTGTTGGAGCTCAGTCTGGGGGGAGTTATTTTTTCTCCTTGTCTTTCCTCATGTTGTGCATTTTCCATTGTTATACCTCTCTGACTCGTCTTCCCCATGTGATGTTTGTCTAATGTATGTATGGTCGGAGGGTAAGATGGCGCTGGCAAAGGTCGGCAGCCTTAACCCAATTTCTTTCGGGGTCAACCTTCAGGATCAATAAAGTTTTATTGAATTGAATTGATTTGAATTCAAATTAATTTTAGCTTTGTTTATTTCACTAAGGTCTGGGCACTTCATAACTCCTGAGATGTTGTTTATCAAATAATTGAAGGAAGAGTGAAAGGAGGTTAAAAATTAATACAATACAACTTCGTTGACCTGTTAAACTGAAATACCCACTCTGACGCCACTGTGCAGTGACTAGTAACATGTAACATGTAAACAAATTCAGGTATGAAAATACTGATAAATCACTGATTTGTGCATGAAATGTTTGTATCCATAAATCATGCACACATTTTTGTGTATGCACTGTTAGTAAGTGAGGGCCATTGTTCCAGATGCAGCTTTGCAAACCTAAACTCTCCTGTCGTGCTCATTTTTAGAGAAAAGAGGCTTTATCTTGGCAAACTATTCATACTGGTTCAGTATTTTTCTAGCTGTCATGAATTTTAACATTCAACATGCCAACTGAAGCCTTTAGTCTGAGATGTAGCTCTTGGGTCATCGTGGGGCTATGATGTGCACTCCTGGGAATATTGTAGGATCGTGTTTACACACGTCTGAATGCTCCAGGCCAGCAAACTGCAGAAACTTTATAGAGGTGCTCACACTTTTTGATGATTATGTGCATTTTCCGGGGAAAGAGAGAGGATGTTCTTACTTTTTCACAAATACACCCAGAGTCCTGTAAAAATGTCCTTTTTTTATAGTGAACTGCATTCACTGTGAAACGGGCTGGGATAACATATCACAATTTTCACCCCCTTTTAACCAAAACTTGTTTTTACCCTTTTTTGACAAGCGTGTGGCCCCTGTTATCTGCAGATGTTGGCATCCCCTCCCCCTGTTTCATACTTGAAAACGTCCCCATTTCTATCCGGTCTTTTAGTCTGATGGCATTAGCTGTTTCTGGGTCCAAACTCCGCTTCAGGTCCCAAAGTCAAATGAACACTGCGGTATAACTGAGCGTTACAAACTGTCTAAATTCTTTCATCTTAATAAAATGATCAGAGTTGCTGCTTTACCAGGTGTAACAATTCAGTTTAACATCCAGGCATCCATGAAAACAGAAGTTATGAAATTTAACTGAGTTTGAAGTTAGCAGGAGGTTAGCTTGCTAGTTTCCACCTAAACATGATAGAGTATGTTCTGACTGAGAGATTTTAAAAAAATGAAAACGTACAGCTCAGTTGTTCTCTTGACTGAAGTTTGGTCCATTTACAGCATCCTGTGATTGCATTTGTCTCTAAACATCGGGAACCCTCACGTTAACTTTTATCGAGTGGAAAAAAGGTTAGCGTTCATTCTCCAGCTTCATTGTGCTAATGTGTTTATATCTGGTCTTTAAGTCTGGCGTCATTAGCCTTAGCCTACAGAAGAGTCTTTCTTCTCTTTCCTTTGACAATTTAAATCATCTCCTCCTTTCCCACAGATGAGAGCCAGGCAGCCGCCATGTCCAGTGTGAAGTCTGTCTTCAGCAGGAAGGCAGTGGTACGCATGCAGCTACTGAAGGAGGTAGTGGGAAGTGATTCCTACCGTGTCAACAACAAGTATGACCACAACCACACACCCCTCCCTGTCTGTGAAATCATCCAGCGGGCACAAGTCCTCATTGGCCAGGAGGTCTCTTATGACTTGCTGGGGAGCAACTGCGAGCACTTCGTTACCCTTCTTCGTTACGGGGAGGGGGTGTCTGAGCAGGTCTCTCACTGTTTGTTCTGCTTCTGTCACTAAAAGCGACTAATAAATCCAAAACATTGTCCCTGTCATAGTCTCACATTGTCAGACATTTAAAAACATTGACCAAAGTGGCAAATCAGAGTGAACCTTAACATCAGGGATTTATCCATCCTAGGGCTCTACTATACCACTAAAATGAAAACATGATACCCAAAATATAGTTTATAATTCTATTTTTCACCCACATATAATCTTATAATTGCTTTAATTATGACCATGTTCTGTATTGAAAACAACGACATCCAAATCTACTTTAAAGCTATGTTTAAGAACCAAATACATCCTGCCAAAGCCTTAATCTTTACACAACAAATCAGCTTTGAATTAAATAATCAGCTCAAAAGAGTTTACGGGAAAAAAAGGTTTACTGTAAATGAATGTGTTGTTGCCTGCTTCCTCTTATAAGTTAGACAAATCTGAGTTACAGACTAATGAGTTAGTCTTATTAAGTTTGGAATCATGCTGTATTGTAAATATGCAATAAAATCAATCAGCCTCTGCTGCTCCTATTCTAACTTGCAGTCCACGCCCTGCCCCTCCTTCTTGTCTCCACAGGCTTCACGAGCCATTGGGGCCATCAGTTTGGTGACGGCAGCAGCTAGTGCCTTCTCTGTCCTGGGACTGATCAACACACGGTCCAGAAACAGGCCTTTCTGACAGCTGTAGTCTTTACTAAAGTGTTTTCCCTAAATTCATTTGGCTGTGATAAAAAATAACAAAATAAACATTGATAAAGATTTAAAAAATGATGTTATGTTTATTAACAGACCCCATATACTATTACAATATGGCTGCAGTTGTTTGTTGATCCAGTCTTTGTTGTAGGCAGGAGTTGTGAATTATTTGACCAAATTTTTTTTTTAACCCATGGAGCATTAATCATAGTTTGATGGGGTTAGGTTGGTGAATCTAAATTGCCTGTAGGTGTGAATAGTTGTCTGTCTCTTTGCGACAGATGGGTGACCTGTCCAGGGTGTACCCCGCTCCTTGCCCTATAGCAGCTGGGATTAGCTCCTAAAGAGATGGATGGACAGAAATGTATCATCACCTTTGTAACTGAAAAACTATAAGCACGCCGGACACCAGTATAGGCCAGAGTAAATACTGTGGATCCCTGTTTTCTGTAATTTCAGCAAACCAAGCATGGTGTGTTATTTTCACTTAATTAATTTTTGATCTGTAAAGAGTGATGCCATTAGATGAAAGCAATTAATGGGTAATGGAGAGTTGTTGAATGAATTAATTACACAGTCTTATTTTACGTTGCTCAGACTGCCATGGTAAATGGCCTGTATTTGTATAGCACTTTACTTAGTCCCTAAGGACCCCAAAGTGCTTTACACTACATCCAGTCATCCACCCACAGGTGATGGCAGCTACATTGTAGCCACAGCTGCCCTGGGGCTCACTGACAGAGGTGAGGCTGCCGGACACTGGCGCCCTTTGACCACCACCAGTGGGCAACAGATGAAGTGTCTTGCCCAAGGACATACCGACCGAGACTGTCGGAGTCGGGGCTCGAACCGGCAACCTTCTGATTACAAGACGAACTCCCAACTCTTGAGCCACGATCGCCTGTATGCATGACAAGAACAGTCCTTCTCCCTCAATAGCAATTCATAAACATGAGCTATTTTTGTGTGTCTAGTACTAATCTTGTCCATATAACTGGATATATTTATAGCAGCAACGGCATTAATAATAATAATAATAATAATAATAATAATAATAATAATGCATTTTATTTAAGATATTGTAGTAATGTGTTGTTAACAGCAGGTGGCGAAACATGCGCGAAACTAACAAACAAATCCGAAGAAGAAGAAGAAGTGTGACGTCGTAGTCCTGCGCCGGCACGTGTACACGTGCTGTTTTCATAGGCAGAGGGGTGTTTTGAGTGTGTGACATATCTGTGTGTTAAGGTCCGGCGTAAAAGTAAAGCAGCAAATATGGGGAAGAAACTTAAGGTCGGAAAGACCCGGAAAGATAAATTCTACCACCTGGCCAAAGAAACAGGTAGAGTACCGGAAAACAACACGAGCTCGAGACTATCGTGATATTAGCATTAGCAGGCTAAAGCTCCGATCGATATAAAGTGTGGGTTGCATACTGCTGGCAATCTTTTAAATCTCTTTTGTGTAATTTTTAGGTTATCGCTCTCGTTCCTCCTTCAAACTGATCCAGCTTAACCGTAAGTTCCAGTTTCTGCAGAAAGCCCGAGCTCTGGTGGATCTGTGCGCTGCACCTGGAGGGTGGTAAGCATCCCGTCACCAGACATGCCGTCGTGTGTGGTAACAAAAGGAAAAGAAGTAACCCCTCTGGGGGGAAGCTGGCCAGTTGACTACTTTGCAGTCTTTGGTCATTCGCTTCTGTCACATTTGAACGATCACCAAAGGACTTTGTTATAACAAGTGGCAGCTGAGTCAGGGACAGAGAGAAGAGAAAACAGCGACCACGTTGACAGAAGTGTTAGAATAGAATATCCTTTATTGTCATTGTACAGAGTACAACGAAATTGGAGTGCCACTCCCTTGGTGCAAGATAAATAATAAATATAAATGTAAAATATAAAAAGTACAATAAAATAATCGCAAGTACTCAAACAATAGTAAGTACGATATATACAGGATAGCAGCATTAATATAATGACAGTATGGGGGAGAGGGGAGAAAGTAGGGGATGAAAGTCAGGGAAGAGGAGCTGACTGGTGATTGTACAGTTTCAGTTTGTGTAAAGTTGCATTAACTTAGGACCGTGTGTGACCAACCTCGACCTCCTCTCTGGTGAGCACGACTCTGGTTCACTATAATCACAGACTTTCTTTTGCTGTGATTACAAGATAAAATGCACGAGCCTTACAGAAATGACATTACGGTACAATACGTCATGACGGAAGCGAAAACGGATAAATGAGTGATTTGTACTATGCAAAATAATCAAAGTTGAATTCAAAATCTCCTTTTCCAGGTTGCAGGTAGCGTCTAAGTTTATGCCTGTTTCAAGTCTGATAATCGGTGAGTGCAAATTTCTCCAATGATAAATGGCTCTGTTTCTGTTATGCTTCTAAAGCAGCTGTAACGCGTGTGACAATACTTCCCCATATGAGTGGTTTCTTCTTCTCAGGTGTTGACTTGGTCCCCATTAAACCCATCCCCAACGTGGTGACACTTCAAGAAGACATCACCACTGAGAAATGCAGACAGGTGAGCAAGCTGCTGCTGTTCACAACATCACTGAAAAAACATAAAATCAGAGATGATATTTCAACAGTAGAGATGTGGACAGCCAACGCTATGTTTGTGACATGGTTTTAACTGATGAGACACTCTTTCCGTTGTACAGTCTCTCAGAAAGGAGCTTCAGACTTGGAAAGTGGATGTTGTGTTAAACGATGGAGCCCCAAATGTGGGAGCTAACTGGCAGCACGATGCCTTTTCCCAAGGTGAGTCGAGACAAAACGTCTAGAGATCAGACTGCAGTAAAACAGCATTCGCACAATATGTCAAAAATGATTTAATTTGGTTGAAGAGGATTGTAAGGGGTTCTTTTTTGATGCATCCTTACCACTCTTTGATTTTGTGTCTCTGTTGTGCCTAAACTAGTTCATGTCCATTTTCCACAGTATTTGGTATTTAAATCTAATTTTGAAATCCTCCCTTTTTCACCCACAGCTCACCTGACTCTCATGGCTCTGAAGTTGGCCTGTGAGTTTCTTACCAAAGGAGGCACCTTTGTCACCAAGGTGTTTCGCTCCAAAGACTACCAGCCTCTGCTTTGGATCTTCCAGCAGTTCTTCAAGAAGGTGCAGGCCACCAAACCGCAGGCATCCAGGAATGAGTCTGCTGAGATCTTTGTCATCTGTCAGGGTCGGTGTCATTAGCACAACTTTTATTATTTTATTCGCTTTTTGAAGACAATAAATAATGATCTTAATTTTGACCTTGTTCTTGACTAAACCTCACCTAAACCTCCCCCATTGTCGTCATCATCAGGTTTTGTTGCCCCGGACAAAATCGACAGCAAGTTCTTTGACCCCAAGTATGCATTCAAAGAGGTGGAGGTGCAGGCCAAAACTGTGAAGGAGCTGATCCCTGTAAAGAAGCCAAAGGCATGTATACTGACAAATGTTTGGTCACGATAAGCATATCACATCTGGCTGTGATTGCCTGTTATGAAATTTTTGGCTTTTAAACACTTTGTTTTATTTATCAGTCACAAGGTTTAAGACTTACTTTAAGGCACATTTGAGCCCAGAAATGAACCATCATTGATGAAGCAGCTCTTCTTCTGTTGCAGGCGGAGGGATATACAGATGGAGATCTGACGCTCTACCACAGTTTCATGGTGACCGATTTTCTGAAAGCCGAGAACCCAGTCGACTTTCTGGGAAAAGCCAGTGAGGTGAGCTTTTTTTGTTTGTGTGTGTGTGTGTGTTGGGGGGGGGGGGCTTTGAGACAGTCCTGTTAAGAATAAGAACTAAGAAGAAAACTCGTGCTTTTCTTGCTCTGTCTCATTCAGATCACCTTCAACAATCCTGATCTGGAGTTTCACTCAGCAACCAGCAATGAAATAAAGGAGTGTTGTCGTGACATCAAAGTCCTGGGCCGCAAAGAACTCCGGTGAGCTTTTCCATCTCTCACTCGCCACGTTTGTGCTTTAGTAAGCTGCTGCTACTTTACTGTGCTTGCACATCACATACATCAGATGGTGTGCGAACGTGTTGTAGCATGAAGTGTTGTTAACACGGGCCGTGTTTGCATGTCTTTTCTCACGTTTGCAGCCTGCTGCTGAACTGGAGGTCCAAGCTGAGGAGATACCTAGCTAAGAAACTGAAAGACGAGGCTAAGCAGCTCGACCAGGAGATCAGGTTTAAAAAAAGAAAAGAAAAAGCAATTTAAATATTAAATCTTTGTTAAAGTGTGTCACACATAAATCATCTCTACATTGTTTTTAGCTTAAGCTCAGATGAAGAAGGGAGCAATTCAGAGGAAGAAGCAGGAAAGAAGGAGGATGAAGAGGAGGAGGGTGAGGACAACGAGGAAGAAGAAATGGTGAAAAAGCTGGCAGAGCTGAAAGCTGAGGAGGTGGCTGAGCTCAAACGGTATGAACCGCTTTAGTTTTTTGTGTTTTCGGTGACATTAATTCCTCATCTTTCCTACTTTGTCTTGATAGGTGCATCTTGCCTTAAAGAGAAGCAACACTTTACTTTTAGTTTCACCTCTCTTAGCTTTTGCCACGGATGCAGTTGTAGGGCCAAACCAAGAAACTGTCTCTTGCTGATTTGGCAGGAAGAAGAGGAAACTGCTGAAGGAGCAGCGGAAGCAGAGAGAGAGAGTGGAGCTGAAGATGGATCTACCGGGTGTGTCCATCGCCTCCACTGAGGACTCGTCCTTGTTCTCTCTCGTCTCCATCAAGAAGAAAAAGGTAAACGTCACACGCTGCTTCCCTAAAGCACCAAACTCAAGATCAGAATACCGCTGATTCCCACAGAGTTCAAGTCCCACGAGCTTTATCACTGAGAAGCGGCTTCATGTTAATTTCTCGGTCCCTCAGGTGCTTGTTGACATATCAAAGGGGGACATGAAGGCAGCGGACACTCTGGTAGATGAAGACGATGATTTTCACCTCTCCGATGAAGATGGCGATGATGCAGATAAAATGTCACTGGCATCTGATTTGGATGACGAGGATCTGGAAGAGGTGGAACGGCGACAAAAGGAGCTGGAAAAGAAAGCGCCAAAAAAGAAGTAAGAGGCCATTCAGAGCAAAAGCACTCTGAGGTACTGGTGATGTGGTGCCTGGCTCTGTAGGAGTTCTCTTTAGAAAGGTGTTAAGCACTGAATAGCATGTATACATTAGGGCTGGGTATCGTCACTGATTTCTAGAATCGATTCTATTCCGATTCACAAGGTCCTGAATCGATTCGATTCAATTCGGGAAATTTTGACAGTCAGAAATATTATAATTCAGATCAGTACATTTACATATTTTTGTATCTAAAGGAAGCTGACGCTTTCCAGACTTTATCACAGGTGTGAGCATCACAGCAGAGGCCTTTGTGTCAAAGTAACTGAAGATAAAACAGAAAAACATGAAGGTGATTTTCCTGGCCTGGATTTTATAAAAATATTCTGCAGTACATCAGAAACGAAAGAAAACCATTAATCAACACATGAACATTACCTCTGAAGTTACAGCGGTTTTATTACAGACACGGCGTTTTGCATTTTGTATAATTTTAAAAAGTTTAAATTTGTTCAGAAGCCTGTTGAACGGCAGAAATTAGGTTTTCTTTTCGGAAGTAAGTAAAAGGAAAAAAACATCGGCCGACAGCCTGCGAACAACGGTAGACTTGTGCGTAACAAGCAAGCGAATAATGCAGAAAACAGATTTCGGGGATAGACGGGAAACTGTTCTTGAAGTACACTGAGAAAAAGAGAGAGAGAGAGAGAGAGAGCTGTGCATGAAGTGTGATTTTATCCAGGTGGAAGCAAAACAGCAAAAGTCAGAGTGAATTCATGACGATCTTTATGTGAAGCTTAGTTTGGATCTTCTTTTGCTGCTGGTTCAGTCAATATTGTTTGGAGAGAGATAAAACTAACAGCTTTAGAATCAGCGCAAAAAGGACGTAAACACAAAGCGCAGATCCGCCGAAACATCAGAATCAGCGAGCTGTCGGCTTTCAGCCCCGACCGTGTCGTCGGTGAGAAAGGCGACATCTCACTGATTCTGATGTTTTGGCGGCTCCACGCTTTGTGTTTACGTCTTTGTGCAGAAGCCGTGTTCCTGCTCTCATTTACTGTTTTAAATGTTTGATGGTTGTCAAAATTTGTGACGTTTCACCTGAGATTCTGGAATTTTGGGCAAAATACATTTATATAAAAAATCGATTCAGGATTTTAATGAATCGATATCACGTTATCCAAGCCAGAATCACTTTTAATCGATGAATCGATTATTAAAACCCACCCCTAGTATACATGTTCAGTGAGTACAAATTTATTTTTAGCAGAGTTGGTCTCAAACTAGACTGATTTACTAGAATTGTTATTGTCATTCCACAAGTTTGATGCTTACTGTTTTTCCCTGGAAGCTCAAGTCTGTTTATTTATTTATTTTACCAGAAAGAAAGCCCAACCTTTCTAGAAGACCTCAAAGTTCACGATTCATTTCTGTGGTTTTCAGAGTAAAGTTTACCAACCAAGAGGAGGAGGAGGAGGATGAAGAGCAGGATGGTGGCTTGGTGGTGGAGCTAGAGGGAAAAGATGAGAAGATGGAGCGTCAGGCCGACCTGTGGTTCAGCAAGGTATGTGTTTGACTCGTAACACAACATCTAAAGCTCAGGTATTCTTCTGCTGCACCTGTTCGCTGTGTGATGTGGCACCTGCTTCCTACTTGATTTCTGATCTTTCACCATGCTTTGTCTGTAAATGTGCTGATGGTACCCGTAGGGCATCTTCTCTGAGATTGGCCTCGAAGGAGACGCAGAGAGCGAGCTCAAACAGACCGAGTGGCTCCGGACTAAACAGTCAGGTGTGAAGTGTTTCTCCTCCTCGTGTTCATGTCTTCACACTCACACGTTCACATACATGTTATTTTTCACAGCTTTAAATGAAATTGTGTTTGTGAGGGGCTAGTAGCTATCCTTGTATGTATTCTTACTTCTAGGAAAAGGCAAAAAGAGGAAAGCTGAGGAAGACATAAAGGAGGAGGAGGAGCAGCAAGAAGCTGCTCTGCCAGAGGAGGAAAAGGCAGGACCATCACTGGAAGCTGCAGAGGAGAGTGACAGTGACTCGGATGACAGCAGCAATGATGAAACGTAAAAGCACATTAAGTGTGGCTCTCTTTAGTCCAGTGTGTTACATAATTAATAAGCTTAGTTTGATTGCGTAACTGAAAAGAAATCTGCAATATTTCCAATTTCTTAAAACTGTTCTTAACATTAATGCTAATATACAGGTAACATGTTCACCGGTTTCCTTTTAGGGAGATTACCAGAATGAAGCAGGCCCGGGGGGCTGGTGGAGTATCAGGAGAGGTCGATGATGACGACGACTTCCAGGTTGTTCCTGTCGAAAGTACCAGTGAGTATGACAGTGAGGTCGTCAGCATCCCCAAACACTTCTCGTCATCATCTAAATGTCGCATATAGACATTTCTTTATTTATGCACATTTGGGCTCCAGAACAATTGACAGAGCTCATCTTATACCCTACGTTTGAAGCCCTACAAAGAAACTATGCTTTTGCCAGGCAGCACATAATTCTCCGATCTTCTAAATTGTTTGCTTGTCAGTTTTCGAGTGCTGAAACTCTTCCTCAGTGCATCTTTGCACTCAGTGGTGAACCTTTAGTCTGCCATCTTCAGGAAGAGTCAGTCAGTTTTCATGCTTGGTGAGCGCCCCCTGTTGCACGGTGCTGCGTGCTGGCACCCATCCATTTTGGTGTTGCACCTCTCAACTCTTTTGTAACCTGAAGTATTGCACTGCTGCTGCCACAGCTGGGTTGAAAACTCATTTGAATAACCCGCATGGTTTCCAATAAAAGTGCTCTTAAGTTAAATAACATGCACCATTGCATCTCAGCAATATTTGATATGTCTATATGTCCTATCTCATGCTTTAGAGCTTATATTCTGTTTTTAGCCTGTGTGTGTGTAACTCTGGATGACTGACTGTTTCTTTAGGTAAGAAAGCTAGAATCCTGAGTCCAGAAGGCCTGGCACTCGGCACTCAGATCGCTACATCTAAGAAGAGGGCAAGGGACCTGGTGGACAGCTCCTTCCACAGGTGTGTGTGCTTTGGATCTTTTTCCATTACAATCCAGAACTAGCAAATGTCCGTGGTTGTCATCATAGCGATGAACTCTGCTGCCCGTATCATCTCCAGGACCCCTTCTGTCCACCACATCACTCCTGTCCTGCAGCAGCTTCATTGGCTCCCGGTCAAATATCGCATCAATTTCAAAATACTCTTGTACACATTTAAGGCTATTCATCATCTCTCTCCTCCATATCTCTCTGACCTGGTCAAGATCATCGCCCCATCTTGTTGTCTCAGATCTTCTTCTTCCCTTTCACTCTCCGTCCCTTCCCCCCGTCTTGCCACCCTGGGGAGCAGGGCTTTCAGCTGCTCTGCTCCACGACTCTGGAATTCCCGACCTCCTGATTTAAGAAACATCTCTTCCTTCTCTCTCTTTAAGTCCAAACTCAAAACCCACTTGCACAAAGTAGCTTATCCCACAAAACCTCTCCACTCTGCTATTTTATTTGTTTATGTCTTGTGCTTTTATGATTCTGTAAACTTCTTGCTTTTGTTGCTTTTATTCTACTATGTACAGTGACCTTGAGTGTTTTGAAAGGCGCTTTCAAATAAAATGTATTATTATTATTATTATTAATGCTGCTGCGCGTTCTGTGACCTTATTAGTATACAACACGAACGCTATAACAAAGGTGGATGTCAAAGTGTTGATGCACCTGGGAGGGCTGTTCTATATGATGAAATATGTCGGATGTTGACAGGAAAATATCTGTCGCTTCATGTTACGCGCTATCGTTTGTTTCGTGGTGTCACAAAAAACCCGTATACGGCAGTATCTTGTTTTTCTCTTCTACCACCTACGCAAGAATCACGTGAAGGAGTGTGGAGAGGGTTTATGGATGAGAAGAAAAGAGCCGTCAGGTGGTCAAAATAAACCTTAGGCTCAAACGTTAGAACAGGCTTTTCCCTGCAGCACGCCATGTAATAAATACTCAAGAAGAAAATGGCGGCCGTTACAACTTATGTCTAAAAAAAATGTAGTTTTATGTATCGGTTAAAACACTCGACTCCAGGTGCACGATGCCCACACTTCACGCAGGTCGAGTTGCCCGAGTTTCACAGAATTTACAGAAAATGCACCGTTTTGTGATTTATATTGTTGTCGGGATGAGAAATTGTTATATGGAGATTTTGGTCAAATGGCACAGCCCTAATACCTGGTGCTCCATCTGTGGCTTTTCGGCAGACTCTGGGACCATGGCGTTGTTTTTCTTTTTTTTTTTGGGGGGGGGGGGGGTTAGCCATTTCGGGTTTCAAAAAGGGCAGTTTTGATTTTTTTGGAAGGAGACGCTCTTGCGACTCATCGAGTGACGCCACTGACCAGCTAATCGGTGGCACGCACTCTGACGGCGTCACATTTTAGTACCTGCTCGGATTGCTTGGAACCCCAGTCGAGCAGTGGTACCAGGTACTATGACCTAAAACTTTGCTGAGTCAATCCCAATAGGTACTAATGGAAAAGAATCTGCCTTTCAGATTGCTGATTGCATCTAACGATGCGTATACTCGGGTTAACATTTGTTTTCGACAAATAAGGCTTAAACCTGCTGGAATAAGTGAAGATCGCGAATAACACCTTGTGTATGCCGTTTCAGGTTCGCCACCTCTGACGAGCCGTGGGAAGTACCGGAGTGGTTCCTCGATGATGAACGGAAACACCGGAAGAGGCCGGTGCCGGTCACCAAGGAGATGGTGGAGGAATACAAACAAAAATGGAAGGAGATCAATGCTCGGCCAATCAAACGAGTTGCTGAGGCCAAGGCCAGGAAGAAGAGAAGGGTAAAACACTTGTAGCCCGAGGAGCTTTTCGAAGTAATCGGTGTATTTCTGAATGTATTAATTCCACTTTTTCTTTTCAAGACGTTGAAAAAAATGGAGCAGGCCAAGAAGAAAGCAGAAGCGGTTGTCAACACAGTGGACATCTCTGAGAGGGAGAAGATGGCTCAGCTGAAGAGGTATGTTGTCACATCTGTGGGGCTGTGAAGACAAAACTAACTGGCTGTTTTACCCATGATAAAATTTCAATACTGTTTGTGTTTCTTTCAGTATATACAAGAAAGCCGGCTTGGGGAAAGAAAAGAGAGAAGTAACATACGTTGTGAGCAAAAAGGGCGCTGGGAAGAAGGTGAGACGGCCTCCTGGTGTCAAAGGAGTCTTCAAGGTGGTGGACGGGCGCATGAAGAAAGATTTGCGGGGAATGCAGAGAAAAGAACAACGTGCTAAAGGAGGCAAAGGAAAGCGCGGAAAGGGACGACAGGCTAAGGGTGGCAAAGGAGGGGTGAAGAGTGGTAAAGGGCGAAAATGAAAATGCATTTGAGTTTCTGCTTGTCGTTATTATTATTATTATTATTATTCAACTCCCTGGACTCGTGTTATAACTGAGCATTTGTGGAGCTTGGTGAACTACGATGGTTCAGTTTTGGCTCCTGTATCACAGACAAAATAAACATGAGTCTCTGTTTTGGAACCTTTGCTGGATTTCTTAAAGCCCTGGAGACCTCAGACATGTCTGGGAGATATGACATCCAGGTTTTATGTATACGTCTCTGTGAAGATGTAGCTGATTTGCCTTGAACCCCCTGGAAGGAAGAGGATTCACTGAACAGCTTAACTGTAAAATGCAGTAAAAGTTTATTGATAAATGTTTGTCTCGTGTAAATACTAATCTTTGCAATAAAGTTTTTGTTCAGATTGGTTGTTCAAGCATTTTACAAAAAAACATTTCATCCTTTGTCTAATGCAGCCACAGCTATAAAAGTGCAAAAACATCTGTCTTAGACTGCACAGGCCAAGCAGGAAGCGAACTCAACCTGATGAATGACGTCTTTTCTATTTCAAAAAGGCGCGAGTACTTCCTGAAGTCTTACCTGCACAGAAACATCTGCTCAGTGTCCTCGGTCATGCTGGATGCTGGAGAAACACTAACGCTGCTGTGACCTAAATAAATAAACTACATTTTTAAAATTTCTATTACCAAATTGTGTGCATCAATGCAAGTGTAAGAAAGCAAATCTGCTCAAGCACTTATTAGGATTTCTAGTATCTGATACTTTATCTGTATTTCAGTTTGTGTAATTGTAAAAAATGCTCCTGTATGTTTACTTATGAAGTTGCATGTGTGGTTGAGCTGATTTTTAATATCAATACTACCGCTTTACCAAAATGGACTGTTTTTTTTTCTTCCCAAAACTACATTACCCATGAGCCTTCAAACTTAAATTGCGTCACGCGGTTGTACAGTAAAGCGGTTCCTTTTGCGGAAAGGTCTGTTATGTTGTTTTGTTCAGTATAGACGGTTTAGTTTTAATATGTGACCCACGCCTCAACCTGTCATATTACCTTAAACGTCACGTTTTATTCAGTGAGTCTAAAGTTGCTTTAAAAATTAGCTTTAAACTTAGCTAACGTTGCTAGCTAAAGTTGTGCACACCTGTGCTTGTTTTCACTGTCAGGGATCTAACTCTGGTTAGGAGCCTGTCTTCTCCCGGCCAGGATGTTCTTTATTGCTTTGTTGTGGAGCCTGTCGCTCACTGCCGTGGGCCAGCAGGAGGACAACGAGTGGCTCGACCCTTACGATATGCTCAACTACGATGCTAGCACCAAAACGATGAGGAAGCCTACTGAGGTTGGGAGATTGTTTACTCTGACCCAGCTACATTTGACACGGTTCTGATCACTGTGAAGACGTTGTGTTGTCCAGCTCTTTCATTAAGAGTGTGTATTTGCATCGCAGCCAGCAAGCTATGACAACGTGGGGACTAAAAGAAGAGAGTACAATCAGGACTCTAGCCAGACCGAACTGACGTCCTGCAAAGAGCAAGTGGAGGATTTACAGAAACAGGTTGGTGTTTTGAATAATAAATCAGGCACAATGCATATTCATATTTTCAAAATATAAGTTTTCCCCCATTCAAATTGAATGAGTTAATTGAAGGTGTAGAACTGAAAAACAATTTCCAATTTGTCTAACAGTATTTAGGCTCCAGGCTTATTACTTTCTTCTCATTGTTAGCACAATTGTTGACACGTTTTACACTCCTGAGTCAAGCTCTGCGTTCAAGCTTAGAAAACAATTTCATGTACCTTTTTAAACAGAATTGTGTGGAAGGTTTAAGGAGTCTGGAAAGTTTTTTTCTAAGGGACTTTTGAAATGTAGCCTCTAAAAAGAAAGTAAAGTATGATCTGAGGATCAGGGATAGGACTAGCCGCACTCTAAGCCTCTCACTTTCTATTAACTAGAGTCAGACTTACAGATACTGGACCATCAAGAGTATCAGGAAATTACCATAGTAAAAGTCAGGCTGTTACTATGGTGTCATCACAAAGTTAGCCTATCACATTCAATCACATTTTATGTATACATGTGCACTCGCTGTGCATGTTTTCTTAGGTACACCTTGTTAGTCCTGTGTTGGAGCCTCTTTTGCATTCAGAGCGGTCTTATGTTCAACAAGGTTCTGCAAACATTTCAGTTCCACCACATCCCAAAGGTGCTCTATTGGCTTGAGATCATCACTGAATGTACAAGAAACCAATTATACATGATTTGAGTTTTGTTACTACTTCTAGAACAGCCATCAGTGGGTCAGCAACAAGACTCGGGTAGGCTGAGATGTTTAAATTATGGCGAAGTGTGCCAAGAAGATATCCTTCATATTGTTACACCACCTTCCTTCATTCAGAATGAAGATCAAAAGAAGACGATCAAGCTCATCTCACAACAGCCAACATGCAGTCCAGTGTTCAAGCGATTTCTGAGCAGACTGTTGAAGGAAATACAAAGAGTGGGTGTGGTAGGTGGTCATCTCATGTTTTATGGTGAATTATGAGATTTTAGTTGAACATATTGTGCCATAATTTTTCTCTGGTTCAATAATTGGCCAAGTGTCATAAATATTGCAATTTTAAGACACTTGCTCTAATTTCTCCCCAGCCCAGTGACTCCACAGATGTCTTTTTTGATGCCAAAGTCAAACTGTCCAAACAAGCCATGACAGAGATCCAGACACTTCTGGAGGGTGAAGACAGGTGGAGAACAGGCGCTCTGGACAACGCCATCAGTCAGATACTCGTGGACCTTAAACCGCATGATTATGAGGCCTGGAAGTGGCGATTTGAAGACACCTTTGGGGTGGAGCTGGACACAGTATTAAAAGTAAGTTTTTAGTAGCTTTTACCTCTGGCTTCCTTCTATTCTGACTCTTCTTAATGCTTCTACTGTGCTTTAATGGTTTCTATTTTCTGTAACCACTCAAACTGTACTCTGCTCTCTCCTCCAGATCGGGTCATTTGTCCTGATTATAGTAGCCATTATCAGCACCGAACTGTGGACAACGATCTCCTGGTTTGTGCAGTTCCGACGACTGTTTGCCGTCTGCTTCTTCGTTAGTATTATCTGGAACTGGTTCTACCTGTACAAGGTAAATAGGAGCTCCTGCAGCTTTCAGTGGTTTCAGTTTAGCTGTATTTCAGTGCTTTGATTGTAAAATACAATGTTTTTAATAAATATGTACATTTTGTTCAGATTGCCTTTGCTGAGCATCAAAATAATATAGTGAAGATGGAAGGCTTTAATGCAAAATGCACTGGGGTGAAGAAAATTGACTGGAGTGACAGTTTGAAAGGTATGCGATCACCAAGCACGAACAGTCACGGCATTCTGTGAAAACCTCGTGCATCTAAAATATTAACTGGCTGAGAAAAACATTCCTTTTTAGAGCGTATTAAATATCATTTTGAAATATGTTTCACTGCACAGCCATGAGATGGAGAGGAATTTAAGTCCTTGTGGAGTCATTGTGCAAACTCTGAAGTCTCAGCTGCTTTAACAGTTTTAGACTCCAGCATTGCTGTTTTGCATATATTAAGCGTATTTGGCTCATAACGTCTGCCTAAGCTTGGACCTGTATTTGGTATCCTGCAGAGTGGTTTAGAAGCACCTGGACTCTTCAAGATGACCCTTGTAAGAGATACTATGAAGTTCTCATGGTTAATCCCATCCTGTTGGTACCTCCAACCAAGGTAGGCCACTCTTTGGAATGTCTGTTAAGGGTTATTGAGGTTTTGCGGACACATCACCACTAAACACATGGTTTTAATTTGGCTGCCATTTTGGACATGTGACAAATATGTTGACAGCGTAGAAGTGAGCGAGTAAGTTGCCAGTCACACACTGCCCACGACCATACGACAACCTCCAGTTGTGAAGTAAAAAGTACAAATTTTGAAATTGCATTTTGAAACATCTTGGCTGCAGCACTGAAGCACAACTTTTGCTTCCATGTCCAGTTTGTGTCACACTTTTTCAAGTTGTGCAACTGCTCGGCTATTAGTTGGCAAGTTGTTGCAGACAAAACGTGAAAAAAAACAGCCACTGTGGCAAAAACCAAAGTTGTCACCAGGAGGATTTTGGTACAGCACCTTCTTTACACCGATTTTACCCAGCAACCAGTCTACCTTGTTCTAACTGCTATATATTTTTACCATGCCAAACTGTGTTCCTTGGTATGCGCTTGGACTTTGTTATGACCTAGACATCCTTCCCTTTTTAGGCAATCTCTGTTACCATTACGACCTTCATCACAGAGCCACTGAAGCACTTCGGACAGGGAATCAGTGAATTTCTTCGAGCGCTCCTCAAAGATCTACCAGTTACCCTGCAGATCCCAGTCCTGCTCACTATCGTGATCGCCGTTGTGGTACAAATTGTCCCCTTTTTCACATTAATTCACATTATGGAGCTTGCGTTGTATACACAGCATTATTTGCATTAATAAAGCAATACATTGTATGTCTTTGCTTTGTATAAATAAATATATGTTTGACTCTTCTACAGGTGTTCATGTATGGAAGTGTGCAAGCAGCCTTCCAGCATGGCATCATGGCACCTTTACGCCGCCCTCGAAGGGATCCACCACCACCAGAGCTGGAACAACCGCAAGCTCAACCTCGCCTCAGGATTGAGGACCGCAATCATTTTGCAGGAGGGGATGCACCTCAACAGCAACATGCCCTAAGGTACAGAGCTGATGAAGCCAGATTAAACAGGAATGACTTGCATCAGAGGAGACCCAACAGGCAGAGGGTCGAGACTCTAGGAACTGCTGAGGATGAGCCGGACGCTGAGCGGGCCAAGGAAGTTCCTGAGGCAGACCAGAATCTGTCTGTTGAGCCAGATTCAGAAAACCAGCGGGGAGCAGAAGAACGGCCACCAGCAGCAAAGGATAACAGCGTTGGTGAAAACAAAGCCAAATCGGAGCCAAAAGCTGCTCGGTCAGATTCGTCTGAGTCGAAGAATAAAACTTCAAAAGGGAATGAGAACCTTTCTCAAGATCAACCAGACAGAGATGTTGCACTGCTCAGACCTGAGCTCCCAGACGTGAAG